AGGAATGCATCCCTCTGCCTCATGCTGGGGCCAGCTTTCTCTAGAAATTAATCATGTTCCTGCTGCCCCAGCTGAATGTGCTGACAGTTTTCTGCCTTTTGGAGAAGGTCTCTCTTTATTTGTCACAGAACCTCAGTTCCTGGTCTCAAGTAACTCAGGTTTCCTTGCATTCACTCACCTCCAACCCAGTCTGTTGTGCAGGGATCTTGTCTGTCACTTGGAGGAGTAATTGCAAAAGTAGATTAAATGGGAAATGCCTGTTAGAGGCAAATTCTTTTGACAGACCACACAGCTATCATGTTCTGCATTTATTTGAGTCAATCAGTTCTCTGATGCATATTTAGGTCATAAATACCCTGATATAAATTGCATTTATTATTATGACAGCTGTGTTCCATTACCTAGTGTTTATTAGGTTCTGTTGTCCTTTTGGTTTTACACCTCATGGAGATGTCAAGCCAGCTGCTTCCCAGTGACAAAGCTCATAGCTCAGTTCAGAATCTTCCAAAAATAAATTCTCCAGAGGGATTTATATATACAGGATGGATGCTGTTGGAAAGTCTTTTTTTTGTGTGTTTGTTTTATTGGAAAGAGAGGAGGTTTGTGTTTTTTGTCTGCTCCTGCCCATATTCCAGAATTAGACTTTCAGTTTCTGATCTAGAGGTCGTGGAAGCTAAAACACCCACTGATTAATGTGAATTTTGGATCACACCCACCCTTCATGTCTCAAAGTTGAATTAATCAGGTTGTTTGATATTTAAAATGCTGGGATGCTGACTTGGATGTTTCTAATTTTCCTTTGGAAGCTTGTTTAGCTTCATGGCTTTTTACATTGCAAAAATGGGAGAATATCTGATGCTGAGATGAATAAATTCCAATGTCCTTCCAAGGTGAAGGTCAGACTGCAATGGGCACACTGCTCTGCACGAGTCAGAGTCATTTTCTGCTTCCCTTTCCCAATCAACAGCCTCATACCCTTCGTGCCAGGTTGCCACACCAGCTTTGCAAGGTGCCAAGCCCTTTGGTGTTGATTCAGGAGAGCATTTAATCCTAGAATTGATGACTCTGAAGTGCTTAACACAAGCACGTGCTTAAGTGCCTTGTTGGACTGGGGCCAGTGCAGATGTGGCCTTGCAGAGCAGAGATTTGTGAGCTCCTTCTGGTCTCCCACAGCCAAGTTCAGTGGAGGTGGAGGTTTCAGGGGGCTGTGCTGTTCTGCAAGGATGGCTGAGCATGGCAAAATGCCTCAATGTGGGAAAGAGAGCTGGAATTGACCCAGGCAGTCCTTGTCCTGCAACTAAGAGGGGAAAACTAGAGTCAGCAGAGCAGAGGTCTTGTTTGCAGAAGGATCTTGGGATAGGTGCAGGGACTGAGCCTTTTGTCTATCAATAGGGTTTATGTGCTGGCTTCACAGCAACATGGTTCATAGCACTGCTGCTGAAATATGAGAGATATAATGTTGCATCTGCTTCTTTTCAGGTCCTAACATTTCTGTATCCTTCATTTTACTCTAAATGTGAAAAGAGTAAATCTGTATTTCCTATCATATCACAGTGCAAAGTGGATGTTCACTTTGTCACAGGCCTCACAAGATACAGATGCAAATGGCATGTTTTATTTATTAAACAGCTTTGACATCTTAATATTTTACAAAGGAAGAGACATTGAGATAATTTCATAGTACAGCATTCTGCATGTTTTTGAGCTGTCATATATCATCAGCCATGAAAATTCATCATTTAGGTCTTAACCACTTTAATTTGATGCATGCATTCCAACCAAAGGAGTGTGTGTCCTAGTCTTCCCTTTTATTTTTCCCCTCCTGTTCTATCCCCCACCACCTTTTTATGCAATTAAAAGTAGACCCCTGGGGTTAGACAATGCCAAAAGCCCACCCTGCCTTCCAGGAACTGCCCAGTAATTAACAAGAGTCATAACTCTGTGACTAAAGAGGGATCTCTAGGTATTCCAGTGTCCCACCCAAATCCTCCTGGGTTTGTTAAACCCAGACAAAGCCAAAAAGTTCCCACTAAAGAGCAGTAAAATTAACATAGCTTCTTTTATCCAGATCTCCAATGTGGACAGAGAAAAGCCAGGTATAAATCAGCTTAAAATCTGGCAGTTTCTGCCAAGTTCCAAATTAATCATGAGTATGGTGTGCCTCATTTCAGTGATGTCACCAGCCAGGTTGTTTTGGGCTGGGCTGGAGCAGTGAGCTCTGAAGTCAAGGAGATCTTTCAGAGGTTATTCTATTGAAAGCCTCATTGCTACATGGCAGAAGGTCTTGGATTAATGCTTTGGGTTTGGGGGGGAGAATCAAAAGGGAAAGGTGAACTTGCAGTCTTCCAGATGAGGACATCTCTGACATGCTAGGGCTTTGTAGGTTGAACTGGAGAGCTGAACCTAATGAGGTTGAGTAGAGTCCTGCACCTGGGAAGGAACAGCAACATGCACCAGTACAGGTTAGGAGTCAACCTGCTAGCAAGCAGCCCCATGGAGAAGGACCTTGGAGTCCTGTTGGACAACAAATTATCCATGGGTCAGCAATGTGACCTTGTGGCCAAGAAGGACAATGGTATCAGGGTGTATTAAGAAGAGTGTCAAGAACGAGGGGCCAATCTCTTTTCAGTTGTGTCCTGTGATAGAATGAGGGGCAGTGGATGCAAACTAGAGCTCAGGAAGTTCCACTTCAATGCAAGGAAGAACTTCTTTACTGTGAGGATGACAAAGCATTGGGACAGGCTGCCCAGTGAGGTTGTGGAGTCTCCTTCTCTGGAGACTTTCAAGACACCTCTGGATGTGTTTCTGAGCAACCTGCCCTAGATTCTGTGGTGGTCCTGCTCTGGCTTGGGGGGCATTTAGGCCAAACTCTTAATTTGTTCTGTCCTGGTTTTGCCCATCCCTAGATTCTGAGCTTGCAGCAGATTGTGAGGGGCTGGTGCTTTCAAATGCAATACGAGTTCTGAAGTTTCTCTGGAAATGAAAACTCTGTTTGGTTAAGGAAACAGTGATTTCTGAAAGCCTACCAGGCTGCACAGCTTTGTGCGTCAGGGCCGCAGAAGGCCTGATGAAATTGAACTGCTCTCTAGGGGATTTGGCTTGCAGAAAATTAGTTTTCACGTCATTGGCCTGATGTTTATTAAATGCTTGTTTCCTTTTTCTCTCCTTTGCAGTTTTCATCTGCAGTTTCATGGTTGCAGCACCTATCTTTGGTTACCTGGGTGACCGTTTCAACAGAAAGATCATTCTCAGCTGTGGCATCTTCTTTTGGTCAGCTGTCACTTTTTCAAGCTCCTTCATCACTGAAAAGGTAAGATCTTTGCAAAGGCACTTAGCAGGGTGTCTTGATAATGTGCTCAATACATGCCTAAAAACCTCCCCCTTCCCCATCACAGTGTGTTCAGGGGAAACATATCCCTCTAGACTGTATTTGTCATAGAGCATGTTGCATTATTTGATCTTTTGTGGGTAAAGTGTGACCTATGTGACTGGGTTTTTTTTAACTGTGAAAGCTGTGCCTCTTTGTGCCCATTCATAAAAACAGCAGGTGAAGCATATCTAAGCAAAAGTTTCTGTTGACAGAAGAGTTTGGGTGTTTTTTGAGAGAGATGGTAAAGAAACTTTAGAAGTCTTGAAAAGAGACTTGAAAAGAAATAAACCACTATACAGTGGTTCTTTTGTCTTCTGACAAGTAGCAGAAGCCACTGGAGTTTGTTGGGAATTCTGCTCAGTGTTTGTAGAATGATAAAATGCAGTGGGGTGCAACCTTCACTGGGTGATAGCAGAAGAGTTTAGACATAGTTTCAGCTCCTTTAACACTAGCTGGGAACTGATGGTGGAGTTGTCAGGCTCACCTGAATTTCATCAAGCATCCCTTGCCTGCTTTCAGGACAGCCACAGGACCCCACTTTAAGGACTCCTCATTGCTTTAGTTTTCTTCCCTGTCAGAGGCATTTGGAGGAAACAAACACCTGGCAGTTTCTGGGGAAAAATATCCTCCTGTTTAAATCATATGATAGAGGAGGTTTAATTGCTGCAGGTTGCAACATTCCTAGAGAGACAACTCACAGCTCCTGGCATCATCAGACTGATTTCCCCCAGGGAGGCAGGGACACTCCTCATCCTTTCTGTCCAGCTGCGTTCCAGAGATTGCAGCATTGTGGTCACACCTAAAAAATGACAACCAGGGACAAAACCTCTCCACCCTTGCTCCCTCCTGCCCACGCACATGCTCTGCAGTTTCTAATAAAAGAGAATTTCCACCTGAAGTGGGCAGCAGCAGCAGTCACGTGTCTGTCTGCCTTTCATGTTGGTTTGATTGTTGCTGCATTTCTTAAGAAAAATGCACATGGCCCAAGGAAGAAGCCTCTAACTCAGTCTTTTTTTCTGGTTTATAATTAGCCAGGAAGCATCCTTTCCAGAGAAAGAACAGCTCCCATCTAAAATGAAGAGTATGTTCTGTTTGGGGTTTTTTTTTGGGGGTGTCTTTTGGTGGTTTTAGGGGTTTTTTTAGATTTATCTTCATAACATTCTGCAAAAGCAGCTGTGATCAGAGCTCAAAGAAAGCAGCATTTTATGAAGGAACAATTGCCTTGCTTGTAAACTCTTCTTATGGACACACATTCATGCTCAGGTTCTCATTGCTCTCTGTACAACAGACCTGGTCCTGTAGTGGCAAGTTGTGGAACACTGGGACTGGACTGATGTAATCTGTGTTTTCAGCGTTGATTTTCAGTGTAAGGATTTGGGGCTTAGTAGCTGAAGTAGTAGTTCAGGGATCAATATATGTGGTCATCAGTGTACAGGAGCTCAGAGTGGAAGTAGCATCTCTTTAGCCAAAGGGAGAGAAAATAATGTTTATAAGGCTGGAATATGTTTGGTATCCAAGCCCCAATGTTTTGGAAGTCACAAGAAAGACTAGATCAAGCAAGCCAGACCTGTGTTAATTCTTCCTGGATTTGCATCAGTACTAACTCTGGACCTAAATTACAACCTTGGACAAAAAGCACCCCAATAATGAGAGAAATCCCCTATCCTGATTTTACTGCAATCCTCAATATTACTGGGAAACTTACCTATGAAGCTAGAGGTGTCACACCCTACTCCTGTTATCAACTCCACGAGGTGATGGGACAGTTTTGCAGCTGCTGGATGGATGTGCTTTACCCAGGGGCTGCAGCAGTTAAGCAAGATCTTAAGAATAATGCCAATTTCACACAGTGTCCCTACCACTTTGGTATCCTTTTTGGAGGTCTGACCTCTCCTTGGGAAGACATGCCACACTAAGCAAGGTGAATTCCTGATGTCCTGATGAGAAAAGGGGTCAGAGAAGAACTGATGCAGCTTTTTTTTTTTTTCTTTATGCAGTGACTACACTTTTTTCCTGATCTTTGTCTTCTAGGATTCATCTGAGGAGCAAAACACTGGCTCTTCTCTCCATTTTATTTCTTTCTTTTAAGGCAGTATATGTTCTTGTTAGGTTAGGAGCTGAAAGATAAAAAAACTCTTTGCTGGCACAAATAAAAAGCAGTGGTGATATTATTGTAAGTAGATAAACACATCCAAGTCAACATGAAAACACAGGGCTAGAAGGAACAAACTGGCACTGCTGAAATACTGTACAGAAAACTCCTTTATGTGGCAACAACAAAAATACTGAACTAGGCAAGAAACAACAGCCATTTAGTAGGAAGAGCAAACTGTATTCAGGCATTGCCTTGCTTCAGATTTTGACAGTGTCTAGTGCCTTGTGCCTGCTGTCCCTGTGTAATTGCACACAGAGCTCACCTTTGGAGTGTGAGTGGAAAGAAAGACCTTTTAGAAAGGTGGACAGAGCTGATGGTCTCTGAAGGCACCCAATTTGTCCAAGTTTTTGGCAGTCTGTTGGTAATATTTGTTTCTGGCTGTGATTTGCCTGACTATCTAGATTATTTGTATGTGTATTATTTGTAATTTCTTGTGCAAGCATGTGTGCAGAAAGGGACATGTTAATTCTCATCTGTCCCACTGTCAAGTTGTTCAATAAAGAAGTACCCAAGAAAAGGACCCAGAGTAAGAAACTAACTCAAGAGAGGTGGAATTTGATCTGGAAAAAAGGGATTGGAGCACAATGAAACAGTTCATCCAAGATAAATTCTAAATGCTGTTTCATGCTGTTTGGGTTAAAAAGGTCTGAAAGGACTGAAAACAGGCAGATAAAAAGGGGATTTGGATTGATAGGCTGTGCAGACATGTAGTTGCTAGAGAGCACTGCATTCAGGTTTGTAACCACTTATTAAAATATCCTTAGTTGCTTATTACCAAATATCTTTTGGCATTTGACATGGCATAATGACTGTCAAATAAATGAACCAATCCCTCATCTGCAAGTAGTTACCAAATAACACACTCTCACAAGGAAAAAAGAAAATCAGACCATATTTAAGGATAGTTCCAGATTAAATAGGAGGTGATAGTTACAGAAAACAACAATGTATGAATTCCATGAATAGCCAAATAGAAACAAGACAACTAGATATTTAAATGTTTGGTTACTCTCTTAAATTGAGGACTTAAATTACATTTAAAACAAATCAAAGACAGAAACCCAAAGAAATACCATATCAAGAGGGTAAGTTGATAAATACACCTGGTTTTATGGAGAAAATTAGCTAATGATAAATTTAACTACAAAACCATCAGAAGTAACAAGACTGAAATTATACTGGATACATCACTTTTTATTCTGTCAAATAGTGTGATTTGATAATTCATATTAGGGCATGATTCCTCTATAAATAAGCAAGAAATTAATCCTCCTCTACTTTTGACTCTGGTACTTGCTCATTTCTGCTCTGTAACACACTTTAGCACTTCCTAAAATGAAAGTTGCATAAAAAGATCATTAATAAACTTGTTAATTAATCTGAAATCAGTTAAAGTTGGTACATATTTAGATGTATCTCTAGCTTAACTGTGTTTTGTATTTTGCAAGTACAAACACCTGCTTACAAACTACCTCCCTTTATGCATGCCTTTTAATCAGTTCTGCACCTGCAGCTACACAAATTTTTATACTTTTTCCCTGCAAAACCCTTTCTTGTGTTGGTTTTGGCTTTTGGCAAAGGAAGAGAAAACACTTCTAGTGGTTGGTTTATGCTCGGTCATAAATCAGAAAGAAAGTAAGTGAGCTGCTCTGCAGGGTAGGGTCATATCACAGAGAAATGCACTGAGCACACAGACATCATGGTCTTTCTTTACCAAAATCCATTTCCAGCCAGACAAAAAGCTCTGTGTGTGTCTGTCTTCCTCTGTACCCACATAAACTTGGCTTAATAAGTAACTAGTTTTTTCGCTAGATAGCATTTTGATGAGCATAGTGCCTGATTGCCTCTGTTGTGACTGGTCATCTGGGGCTGGTTTATATTTCAGGATGTCACTGGAAAGAGCCAGTAGTCTCAGTTGCACCATTTCTCTCTTTCTGAACAGTTTCATGTGAAGCAGCTTGGTTATGAGGAGCAATCAGGCCACGTGCTGAGACTTTGCTTCTGACTGCTTGGATATCCACATCTATTAGTCATAATAGTTCTTTTAGCTTACTCCTTTGGCCAGAAATTTGTCATGGCTGAAACCTGGCTTGGGTGCTAACCTTCCTACCCCTCAGCACAAACTTCTGGGCAGACACCATTTCCTTAGAGCAAGAAGAGCTTGGAGTTGGAAATTTGCAGGCTCTTCTCCCTGTCTTGTGAAATACTGCTATTTCCCATGTAAACATCTGAATAAAGTGTATTCTGTGCAAAAGGGATGGTGGTTTACAGATGAGCAAAATATTCTGCTAAGTAGTTTGGCTCCACTAGGCTGGGAGACCAAGTGTACCTAATAATCAGGCAGACCAGGCTGTGGCAATGTGGGTTTGCTGGGAGACATCAGAGCTGCAGATGACAGAAAGTTTGGGAATGGAAAAGCAAAAAATTAACAAGGTAAACCAGGAATGTGCTTTTGAATCCTCCAGTTCTTGGTAAATATTTCTGTTTCCATGTTGATATGGCTAACATGATAAAACCCTTTTGTTCCCACTGCAAGTTAATCTGGATGGGTATTTCTACTGGTGGTTTCTTTTTTTCTTTTCCTCTCCTTTTGCTTTGTCTCTGAAAGAAAAAGCAAATTAAGTCCACTGTGGGATTCCAGTCAACCTGCAGTACTTGCTGAAGTCCTGTCTTTCAGACTTGCCAGATGTTTATTTATTTCCAAAGCTTGTCTTTCAAGGAGTGATAAAAGAGAAGCAACAAATGATGTGCAGTGTGGAACAAACAGTTAGCCAGGTTAACTTTT